CGGGTCAAAGTTCGTGCATCGAGCACGGCTGTAATACTAGGCAAGCGGCAAGGCTGAACAGCTCAAGACAGATAGAAGCAAAAATAGCACTATTCTGGTGATGGAAACGAGGAAGTTGCCGAGACGTCAGTTCAAATACAATTTGGTCCATGAATTTGCCCTGTCTTCTTCGGGGGATGATGAACGAGATATGTAATAATAATAATAATAATAATAATAATAATAATAATAATAATAATAATAAGCCAGAAATGGCCATTCCAGTCTCCCTTGTCTTTGTCGGTAATATTATTCCGCCTATATGTATGTGTGTATATATGGAGAGTGAAATTACCAACAAAGCAATGGAAATTGGAATGGCCATTTCTGATTTATTAGCTGTCATCTACCGTCCTCTTTTTCCTACGTTTATCAACGCATAATATGCCTTTCAAAATATTTTCTGCTGACTTTCCAACGAATTCATAATGAGCAATCAACCGAAAGGTAACTGTCCATCCTCAAACCTTCGGTGCCTCTAGATCAGAACAAAACAGACGAATGTACGGACACTATGCCTGCTTCCAGTCTTTAAATCAAACTCACGTCAGGGTTTCTGCAACTTAGAGCAGTCTATTGGAAATAGGTCGATGATGACTAGAGGTGTGATAGTACGGTCTCGGTAATTCAAAGCAGTTTTCATTACAAAAAGTGTCCCGAGGAAGTTTTTAGGGACTTTAAGAAACGCACTGATCCTAGCTTTCGTCCACTGATCTAATTGTGAGTAGGATCTTTTGATGAATGCCAAATCGTCTTAGCAGTCATGCATGCTGGATTGTAAACCACATATTTGTCAAGAAAACTGACCATCAACTTCTTTTTTCATTTACATGTGACGTTCTTCCTGCCGACGCCTTCCCTGGCAAACCCAGATATTAAGGGGAATTCAGACACACCAGCATACTTCATCGCAAGTCGTCATTTCAATGTAAATTACTACTACATCATAAGAAATGCTAAATCTCCTTCAGTTCCGTTGTTCCTTGACATTTGAGGTGCGTCCAGTTCCCTTCAGGATTGTTCGGCGTGTGTTTTAAATATTCGCAATATATGCTGTAGAAGCTTGTCGGAAATGCTTCAGCTTGTCTCATAAAGAGATAAGTTTGGTTTTGAAAATTTTCTTTCTCTATTAGTTGTTCAGTAAACTTTTTCGTTATTTGACTGCGGCTGTAATTGCAACTCGATCATATAGGCGACCGTTTCCATGACCCCTGATGATATTCTAGCGTTCTAATACACGAATGGAAGGCAGATATTTGACAGTTTTAGATTAAACTTGTATCTCTCATCTCTAACAATTCATAAGACGGAAGTGTCTGCTGAAAGTCTCGAGGTTTTGGGGATGCATTTCAAGATGGGCTTATACCGAAATCCAGGAATGGCCGATTTGCATGCCCAGACAAAACGAAATAACGAACGCAGGATTCTTCGCAGACCGTAATGCTGAGGGGCCTAGGAAAGAAGGCGCAAAATAACGCGTAAAACGCGCCTCTACAATCGGACGACTCAGCAGTAGGGGCAATGCTGGACTGCCATTTAAAAAAACATTCATCTGCCAACATAGGGTAAGGTTGGCGGAGAGTTAGCCACTCACAGATCATCAAAGAAAACTGACTCATTCAGGATATCAGTGTCCGCTATTATGACCACGCAGCTCACAAGAAATAAGGCGCTACTCAATTTCCATTTCCCTCCAATAACAGGTATGCATCTTTTTCCGGAAATCGTTTGTCGCAGAATGGCTCTCCTCATCAGTGAGTTAAGCACCATGATTTTTGATGGGTTCTCCAATTTAGCATGCCTTACGATTCCGTTTCACTGTTATGCATTCATCCACTGAAAATTCGCCCATGCTTTGGTAGTATTCACATTGGTAGTCTAGTCACCATTAGTCGCAGGTGTCCCTTGCAATAATTCGTTCATCTGAAATCTCCCACAGAAACGTTTCCGATTTTTTGAAGATGCTTGAAGTAAGAAATTATTGAATAGGAAATACTCTGTGGAAGTAGACATGACTTATAGACTAAAAAGCTTTTTACTTTTCTTAATTTATATAAACGGATCTATCGATTGTATACTGAAAGATCTGTCTTCCTGGAACGTGTAGGTCGGGAAATTTCGAAAGTATTTCGGTTTCTTATAAATAGGTGGATAATATGTGCCAATGGCGAGGTCACTGGCATCGCGTGCATATTTAAATAACTTGGTAGCAGAATTCTGCCAAATTGTTTACTGAGGCATAACTCCCTCTTCGTCCAACAACCAAGCTTTCCTATTTTTACAGACAAAAGCATGCATAACATAGTTTCTGCTGCGGCATTTGGTGCGTGGACAACTAAATCAGGGATACAACGTCGTGCAGGGAAGTTTAGGGTGAAAAAGGAATTACATCATGGACATCGTGCGGAAGTTATCAGCAGAATTTTTACCCACAGTCTCGAACCGTAAGGGGTGTTTTGCACTTCGAGTTAGAAATCGAAAAGTTGCCTTGGCGTCTACAATGCTGGGAGTAGAACAAAACGTGTGTATGCATATCGAGCAGGAAAAAATTATGTGAGGAAAAGAACAGTAAATTCCCTCAACGAGGTGATTAGGGACGAAATGCTAAAACAATCCGTATTATCGCTAATTCAAACTGTTGATCAGGATATGGGGTGAATGTTGTATATATAATGGTAGAGGGGTGCTCACCGCTCGTTCTTACGGAGCTCATTCGTTCCGTTGTGCCTTACGGGCTCTCTCTCTCGAGCCTAACCAGCAGGCGAACAGCGGCGCATGATATAGGCAGTATGGCATTACCGACAAAGACAAGGGAGACTGGAATGGTCATTTCTTGCTTATTAGCCGTCTTCAGTCAGTCAAACCCAACCCCGAAGCGTGGAACACCCGAGACTCGAGGCCCAGTGTTTAGAGGCGTGGACTTCTAACTAACAGCTCGCGAGTTCAAACCTCGGGTGTTCCATACTTCGGGGTTGGGTGTGACTGGCTGACGACGGCTAATAAGCCAGAAATGACCATTCCAGTTTCCTTTCCCTCTGTCGGTAATGCCATTCTGCCTTTCTTATGCGAGGTTGTGCGGCTGCTGGTTGGGCTCGAGAGAGAGCCCATAAGGCACAAAGGAACGAGTGAGTTCCGTAAGAACGATCGGTGAGCGCTCCTCTATCATTATATATATAACATTCACCTGTTGCAGCGATCGCATCTTCTTCTGAGGTGCAGTGTAGGCATCGTCGGGTGTCGGTTGGTGCATGCCCTGTTTTCTCCGTGTTGATAAAACCAAGTTTGTCACAGGCGGCGGAAAAAAGATCCACACTCATTTTCATGTCCCCTTCCGAGGCGGTGTTGAGAGCACAGTCGCCAGGGAAGAGAAGTTCACGGGCAGTCGTTGTGGATACACGCGACTGGAAGTGCATCCGCCGGTATATGAGGAGTTGGCCGTCCGTCCCTTAAGCGATGCGGATCCCGGGGCGCTCGTCACGGTAGGCGTCCATCAGCATGGCAGAGAAAATGAAACGGAAGAAGGTAGGGGCGAGGAGGCAGTCCTGCTTCGCTCCGTTGGTCGCTGCGAGTGCTTTTGAGACGGCTCCGCTGTCGGTAGCGCACGCTATCATTTAATCATAGAGCTAACACACCACCTGAGCGGATCGCTCGGGACAGCTGAATTTCTGCATGGTTTTTCCCAGTCTTTCGCGATTTAGCGTATCATAGACTTTCAACAGACCCACGAAGGTAGAGTAGAGATGGATCCGCATTTCCTGGCACTTCACCTGCAGTTGGCGGTCACAAAGATCGTGTCGGTGGTTCCGCGAATATGGCGGAAGCTACATTAGCTTTCCGACAGGAGCCCTTGTTCCAGATGATTGTTGAGACGGTTGGGGAGAACGAGAGCGAAAATTCTTCTGACGATGTTGAGCGGCGAGATTCTTCTGTGGTTGTCATAGAATTGGTGGCTCCCTTTTTCTTGTAGAGATGGGCGCTTGTGGCATCCTTGTCCTTGGCGCCACATCTCCTGGTAGAGCGCTGTGAGGGGATTTTTGGGTTGAAGCCACCGTACTTGTAGACCCCAGCAGGGATCGCGTCCGATCCGGACGCTTTCCAATTGGAGAGCAGCTGTACGGCCCTGATAGTTACGTGGAGAGAGGGTGGGACGTCGAGATCGATGTTGGTCTCAACCTAAGGCAGTCAGTCGATGTCGGCGTCGGAGATGGTAGAGAGACGTTTGAAGACACCGCTGAAATGCTTGTCCCAGCGCTCCAGAAAATGCGTCTTCTCGGTGAGTAGAGTGGTTACGTCGGCGCTGAGAAGAAGGGCAGTTCCTTTGGTTATGGGGCCGTAGACAGGCTGGATCGTGGCGAAGAAGTCCTTCTATTCCTTGCAGTCCGTGTACTCTTAGATCTCCTCGATCTTTCGAGCCGTCAAGGGGTCCTACATTTCCCGTAGTCGCTTTTGCACAAGGCGGCGACTACGTTAGAAAGCTACTTTGTTGTCGTCGACAGGGCGGCCATGTGCGGTCGGTTCTCCTCGGCCAGCAGGTTGCTGATAGAGGCGTAATTGTCGTCGAACCAGTCCTTATTTTGACGACGTGCGCAACCGAGGACAGCCAGGACGGTTGACTGGACTTTGTTCTTCAGTTGCCACCATCGGTTCTCCACGGAGCCGTGCTCGTCCTTAGCGACTTGGAGGTTGGCTAGTTTCTGAGCTAGCTCGTTTCTGAAATGGAGATGACGAGCAGAAACATTCAACAGAACAGTATTCAACTTACCTGGCGGTCACTTACATTGAGGTCTCATGCGTGGCTGCGAGAGGATACTCATCTTGGAGATGGTCATTTCATCCGTCAGCACCCGGGATCGCCTTTGCCATCAACATGTCCCTCTGGTCTCGCCTCCAGAGGAGGACATAGTCCAGCAGGTCCCAGTGTCGTGACCGAGGGCGCATCGAAGTCGCGCCCTCCTAGGTCATCAGATGGCGAAGGTGTTGGTCAGGGTGAGACGGTGTTCTCCAGGTGTTCGCAGAAGGAGCAGACCATTGTCAATGGAGCTGTTGAGATCATGGGGAGCCAGCACTCCTCTCCAGGCGGAATGGTCTGTGCCGACGCGGGCGTTGAAGTCGCCAAGCACAATCAACTTATCCGCCTTCGACACAGACTTCAGGAGGACGTGCAGGTCCTCGTAGAATTTGTTCCTTTCAGCGTCAAGGCTGGTCATAGGCGGGGCGTAGACGCTGATGATGGTGGCAAATTGGCCTCCCTGGAGAGGCAGATGGAGGTTCATCAGGCGATCGTTGATGCCCTGCGGCAGACAGGGCAGTCGTTCAATGATGTCGTTTTGGATGGCAAAGACAACGCCCGCGTCCCGTCGCTCTGCCTTGTGGCGACCGCTCCAGTGGAAGGCGTAGCCGTCACCCATCTCCTCCACTTAGCCTTCTTCGGAGAAGCGGGTCTCGCTGAGTGCGGCATTGTCCAAATTCTAGCGCGCCAGTTCCGGAGCCATTAACATCGTCCACCGTTGCAGTCGGTTTCTCCTCGGATTGTCTAGAAGGGAACGGACATTCCAGACTGCCAAAGTGAGCAACGCACTCTACCAGTCTGGCGAGTGTGGCGGCGGGAAGGATGAGGGAAAGAGTGTTGTTGGTGGTTCGGTTGTTTCCACTCTGAGTTTTGCGTCTGAGACCACGGTCTGCGCGCAGATGTCGTGAACCCAGCATGTGTTTCGAGCAGCTTTTGCAACCCCCTCCCTCTTGCGGGGGTAAGCAGCACTGTCCCTGAATAGGGCTGCTTTGTCACACCAGAGGGATACCACTCTCCACTATGGGCCACGGGGTTTAATGAGAGAACGACCCGATTGGTCTGGGTCCTCTATGGCATTGCGTGTTGCTCTCTTTGTAGAACTGTTTGAAGTGAGTGGGAGGCAAGGGGATAGGGGAAGGGTGTAGAGACGGGAAGCAGAGTCCCCCTTCCCTCCCTGAGCTAACTGATTGCTGAAATGTAGACGGTGAGCTGGCAAATTCTACAGAACGGTTTTCAGCAGAACGACATTTAGCCTACCCGGGGGTCAGTTAGCTATACGCTTCTGGTGGGGTTGCAGACGGGATCTTGTTATGGAGATGACGAGGCAGCGGCGGTGGGAGGGGAGCAGAGTTACTGTGTGTGGAAATACATACACGGATACCTCCACCTGGTTTAGTCCGGCGGTCAAGGCGGCTTGTGCTGAAGTACTTGACTACTTGACCTTTGACAATCTTCTCACGTTTGTTTTACTGTAGCATTTGTTTTAACGTGACGAGGACTCCGCCGCTTGTAAGCTTCGCGCCGCTTGCATGCTCTCTGGTCAGGTCGTTGCACATTTTGAATATTAACTTTATTCACTTACTGGCCTTCCTTACCTCTCTCCGTTTATGAGGTTAGTAAGCCGTAGTTCGTTAGTTCGCGGGAACGACATAACTTACGTCAGGCTATCAGCGCGTGGCCGCTAGGCGGAGTCTAATTTTGAGGAGCCACATGCGACAGTTAGGGGCCAGTTAATAAACGCTAGGCGTAGTCAACGCCTGCTAGTAAGTGAGCGGCCTACTACGACCATCACTTGGACCCACAACTGGACAATTTCACAAACCCCAATTCTACATCACTTCAGGTTACCCCACAAACCTACAAAAGCCGTTTTTACCACTATCTCAAGGACTCTCAGGCATGCATGGACGCAGTCAACACCAGCCCTGGCTTCACCAGCGCCCACTGTCGCCTGAGAGGACAACTCAGGGGTCTGCATGCAGTAAACTTCTCAATCTGGTGACTTCTTTCTTTTACGCCAGCACGGGATTTGGTCTGATGATTGTAGCGCTCCGAGTACAAACTCGCTCCACTTTGACGCTACATAAGTAACGCCGGCTTAACGGCTGTCATTTCACTACAGCACAATACTTAAACGACCATTTTCCGAAGGTAAAAAAATTAAGTAACACCGGGGGGAGGGGAGACTGTGCTCCTACAAGTCGTCATACATGGATACAAAAGTGGCTAAAACTTCAAGCTCGACGGTGTGGAACAGACGGTCAATCGGAGGCGACCGCTTTCAGACTCTATATTTGTGAGCTGTTTCAATGAGTTGCCCAGTCGACGCGTGTCCTTTCCATGCCAAGCTAGTGCAGATAAGGACCAATCAGAACCTGCCGTTTGAACATTTCTGTCGAAATTATTTGGTATGTTGAATAACGCCAGCTTACGCGAGGTTGGGAGAGACCTATAGCCGTGGCTCTAAAGGTGTATCGCCATAAATGGGAGGCCTGTCATCGCTGTACGTGAATGATGTCCATAGATGTGGCCTGACTGCACGACTAAGTACGAACATTTCATCATATCCCGAGGGGAGGGGCGGCTAATTGAGGGCAACGTGTGGGGTAGAAATTGCTGACCAATATTCCCTCCCGTTTGCTGATATTGCAGAGTTTTCACAATACATCGCACCACTTCCAGAATTTATAACTTGCTTTGTCCAAATGATATGAATCTTTAGCGAAAATTTTATGAAAATGCAGTCCCATAAGACTGTTATCTTTTAACGTCGCCTCTGTAATCCTTTATTCCTTTCTTTCTGATGTTTTTCCTCCCTATTCGCTTGTTTATCCGCAGACTCCCTAAATGACAGCTTCTGAAGAAAAATCGATAGTATACTTCGGCTTATCCAGTTCAAATCATCAAAAGCCATGTGAAGACACTTTATTGATCACTATAATACGAGTGCTACTCACAGAAGCCCACCAATTCAGTGGATAAGAAATTTTCAAAAAGTTGAATCGACCACCGACCAAAAAACGATCTAGGAGGCCAGAGGCCTATGTAGAAGCAGTAGTTGAAGTCGCAGCAGCTTTTAAGGGGAACCCAAGAATCACTTCGGCGCACATTGTTCTAACAACAACAGGGCATAAAATTCTGAAGAACAAACTTAGTGTACAAACCTGCTGAATGCCCAGTTCAAAACTTATGATAGGAAAATTGCCACAAGAAATTCGATTTTGACGTGATAAAATCAGAAATGTGAAAATCTCGTACGTATGTCGGTTTCGCTTTTTCAGATAAGGCAACGTTCCACGTGTCCACAAGGCAAATCTGCATCCTTGCAAACTGTGGGCAACTGAAAAACCAGAGAGAAGTTCCGATACATTGACTAGTTCTGTGGAAATTAAGGTGTGATACGCAACAAGATAGCCGCACGCCTTAGGCCCTTTCGTCCTCGATGAACAAACAGTTAATGTCGAAACTTGTCTAGCGCTGCTGAGAAAGTTCCCCTTCTCTGAATTTCTGTGGCTAAATCTTTTAAATGACACCATTTTTCAGCTGTACATAAGATTCGGTCATTGCGCATTGAATTTGCGATGGGTTTAGAATGTAACATTCCCTAACAAAAGGATGTTTACGGCTGAATCATCACCTATACCAGCGCGTTCAGTTAATCTGTCGCAACTAGATTGTTCTATCTGGTTCGTGTCAAAACGCTTGTTCGCTCAACAAAACCTCTAGGTTTGGATGAAATTAAGGTCAGCAGAAAATTGTTATCCAATCATTATTAATCGATCAATTATAGAATGAATTTGAAGGGTATGAGAATCGACTAAATAACCCCCTTAGTAACCACTACTTTGCCAGACCTCACAGACGAAATAAACCCATGTACAAAAGTACATAAAAGTTTATACTCTCCAGGACCTCTCATTCTAGGCAATTCAGCTTACATTATGTCTGCGTGAGTATGCCGATTCTGTATTGAGAGTAAAGCCAAGGCGGGATGTTCTTTGTGTGGTGGGTCAGATCAGCCCACGGGTATGTTATGCTGCCATCAACACTCATGTTGCCCCCCTCCTGTACATGTCTCTCATCAGCCACATAGTTTGGAAATGATGTTCTGAAGTCGATGATCCAGCACATCCTGTGGGACGATAGTGTGGGATGCACTTTTGAAGCGTAAAAGGAGGAAACGATCCGCAGATAATCAACATCCAGCTACCTTGCCGCACTCCGAATGGATATCTACTTCCCATACGCACCTGCGCTCCACCTCCTGAAAGTATCCAGTGGTAGGCTCTACGCAAACGACCTAAACATATGCGAGATTGTAGAAAACATCGGAGACGTGGTTTACCAATCCTGCAAGATAATGTTCCTCGTAAACGATTACAATGAATAAGGTTTTAACCATTCATGCTAATAGGCCCAGTAGTTTACATTACGTTGATCGAAGCGACAACTCTTTTTTCATCAAAAGTGCTGCGCGTTTCAGTCTTTCTAAATCTTCCCTGTTTATTCTGAAGTATCGATTGTTGATTTCGGATGGGAGACTTCTCCAATGTCATGATCTTTACTTTGTTCTCGGAGGACGGACTTCCAAATTAAACAGAACCACTATTCCGAGGTGTTGAGGAAGTAAGAATGTCAAAGTAGGTGATCGACAAACGCCGAACTGGCGACTCATACGATGATATTTAAACGTAAATGGGGGTGACTGAAGGGTGGTATAGTTCTTTTGGCAACAAAGATTCTCAACCGTGTATGTCTGCTGTTTACTTACTCCCCACTTAGTGCTACATTCACCGTATTTTCATAAACTCATAGATTCGTATAAGTGATTGAAACCTTATGGTTAATCCTTTTTTATTTTGCACGACAGACGTGCATTGGTGTTGTGCTTTGCCCACCGTGATGGATGTATGCACTGTACCGACAGTTTAGGAAAGGACGATAAATATTGAATTTATTTCCATTGAACATTGTCTCCCTTGTCTTTGTCGGTAATAACATACTGCCTATATCATGCGCCGCTGTGCGGCTGCTGGCTGAGTTCGCGAGAGAGCCCGTAAGTCACAACAGAACGAGTGAGTTCCGTAAGAACGATCGGTGAGCGCCCCCTACCATCATTAACAATTGAACGCTTGTGTGATCGAATATCAGAGATGTCAATATAGCCCTGAAAACTGTGAAATCATTGACGATCGTCTGATATACCACCATAAAAAGCGGACTCACAAAGGAACCTTAAGACCACTTCTATGCCATGGCACTTGTTCCCTCCCAAGAATTATAATGATCTCGTTAATAACGAAAATTTGATTCCTAGATCCACATTTCCTGTATAAACTGAGCTGTCAACAAATTATTGCCTATAGCTGATGACTAGAAAATACCTATTCTCAAAGTTTTGAATTTGCGAGAAGTTTGTAACATGATTCCGAAAAATTTCGGCAGTGTGCTTCTTTGTTCGGAGGACGACCTGCAGCTTTCGTCTTATTTAATGTTACCAATATACCTACTCTGCATTTTGTGAAGGTACTTTCATAATTCCTGTCATACTGACAAGCGATGGGGAGATTAACACTTCCAAAAAGTTAAAATATTTGCGAAACAGGATTTAGAATTTTT